TTTTGGAAGAAAGTATTTTGGAATAGTAAATTGATGGAGAATGTGTGATTGAAAAAGAAAGAAAAATTAATGATGTGATGGAAAATATTATTTCAATGAAGAATATGTGGTTAAAAATGAGTAGAAGAATGAGAATGAAAATTTTAATGGATACCAAGCAGGCGCTAAATAAAAAATAAAAAACACACACACCGGTGTCGTCTTCTTCTCACCCCTCACCCAACCCCACCTCGAACCCAAAAATCCACACCGACCACCTCCACCGCAAACTCAAACTCAAACTCAAACTCAGACCCAAAAGCCCCATTAGAAGAACAAAAGAAAGATTAATAGCTCAGGGCCACCCTTTGCCACCTCCGTTTCACGTCAGAGATCTTCAACTCCACCATCACCAATTGCCACGCCGCCAGCAGAATCTTGAAGATGAACAAAGCGAAAACAGCCATTGGAGTTTCTTGTTATACTAATAGGTATATTAAAATTGACAGTATAGATTTGGGTGTCCAAAATTGTTTTGATGTTGGGAAATATAATACCCTATAATTGTCACTACAATGTTAAAAATTTGGATTTTAGCCATTTGTTACCTCACTAAAAGGTTCTCTATATTTGCTCCTTTATCATATTTTAGCATCAGTTACTAAAATATTAGCTAATTGGTCTTTTATCTCTCCTTATTTATATATTTTTAGTTTTGTTAATTTGAAAATTACTCGTTGGCTTTGTTTTAGATATAAGGTATGCTCTCTGATGTCTCAGTAAAGCCTAGCATATGGCATGAGGCCCTACGTATTGTCAATGAGGAAGGTTTTAGAGCTTTTTCGAAAGGGAATTTGGTAACATTTGCTCACCGGCTTTCGTGTTCTTCGATCAGCTTCTATTCTTGCAAACGCTAAAAAAATGTGAGTTTTGTAAGATTAGGACTATAGTTTTAATTCCATTAAAACATGTTTAGTTTGCTGCTTCGTGGATTGCATATTGCCTTTGTTACTGTGCATTTTGTTGGTGGTGGTTTGGCAGGAATGATAGCTGCTTCTGCCACATATCCACTGGCGGGGACGGTGCCGCCAAAGGGAAAGAGCTAGTGCCGGTCATCGGAGAAGGATAAATGACAAGAAGACCTAGAGGCAGACCATTTGTTGGTTGTTGTTGTTGGTGTGTGTGTGTGTATTTTTATTTAATTATTTAATGTGATAAATGAAAAATTACTCTTTTGTCACTCCTTAAATAATTAAAAATTTTGTCAAAGTTAAATTTTTTGTCAAATGAAAGAATCATCGATGAAAATAGTCAAGAAGGACTTCACCTGCAACATTTGGAAATGTTAGGGTGACGGCTGCACCAAATCAAAGGTTTATAGAAAGTTTGCTAATATTTCAAAGATTTGGAGTTTTTGCTGCAATTATGCCTATATTTTATTGGACTTATAATTTTTAAATCATAATTTTATTATTTTTTTATCAAAATTTATTAAAAATCTTATTTTTAACAAAACCAAACATAGGCATATGTAACGATTAGTGCGAATGATACCATATGTTTGACTAACTTAGATTATAATATTAACTTTCAAAAAAATGCCCTTCGAGGTCTCCTACTACTTTGAGGATTGGTTGGACAAGTTGTTGACTCTTTGATGAGCCATATGTCTCAACATAATGGCAAGAATTGGTGTTTGGCCTAGAAGGATAATAAGGGAAATCAATTATGCTATATGTACATCTAATTTGACACTTTGATTGACATGTGATGGGCAATCCGACCATTAATTTGAATAGCACTTATTTGAATCAATGATCAAATCTTTTACAAATCATAGGAGCTTAACTCTTTGGGAAATTAATTATGCTACATGTACATTTAATTTGACGTCTTGGTTGGCATCTCATGATGTCATAGACAATCTGACCATTAATTTGATTAATGCTTGTTCAAATCAATGTTCAAATTTTTTACACATCATAGGGTTTCAATCAAAGTGTTCAAAATCAATGTACAAGTGACGTAATACTTTGGGAAATCAATTATGCTACATGTACACGTACACGTGGCTTATAACATGATCCCATTTTGTAAGGCAATATTTTTAGTTAAATTTGCTAATAGAATATTCTCTTTGAAACCAAATATATTTTAAATTTTGATAAAATTTTAAATTACAACAAAGATCCTTCAAATAAAGAAAACAAAAGTCCCGAGGCTCTCCAGCAAGTATAAAACTATTTGATTCGTGTAGTACACGCTAGAGAAAATGAAATAAATCCACTTTTATGCCAAATTATGTAGCTACCATTTACATGGTTGATGAACTCAAAGAAAGATCTGTGTAAAATAAATAAATAGGGTGCTCAATAGAAAACACCCACATGTAGTAGAAATTTATAGATTTTTCTTATAACTTAATGCCTGCTTTGCATCAGATGTGTATCCCTTTCTGAATTTGCTAGTTTGATTCTTCATAGGATCTAATTGTGCTTCAAGAACTAGTCTGAGCTGACGAACTTTCTCAGGCTGTGCAGCCATCGAACTGTAAATCAGATCTTCAGTTAACCTGTTAACAGAAATACCTGCAATGCCAAAAGTAGAATGCATTGTAACATTTATGGTATGTTTGGTAGGGTAGAGTAGAGTAGACTAAACAATACTCGACAATATTAAAGAACAAAAACAAAGTTAGAACCTTATCCATTGTTTGGTCTAATATTATTCAATACAGCATTGCAGTAGAATGCATTGTAACATTTATGGTATGTTTGGTAGGGTAGAGTAGAGTAGAGTAGACTAAACAATACTCGACAATATTAAAGAACAAAAACAAAGTTAGAACCTTATCCATTGTTTGGTCTAATATTATTCAATACAGCATACCAAACATGCTGTAAAAGTTGGGCATGAATCCTGAGAAATCAATTCATCTTCCACGTGTAAATTACAGGTCGATTTACCTGATCTACAGAACCGAAAAGAAAGGGCATTATCAGTATGTGACAGCGGCTGTGTTCATTCGACTCCAGCCTTTTGCTTCAACATGGCAATGAACTTATCTCTATCTTCAGGTGACATAGCATCAGCCGAGCAATCTCCAACACCCCACTCAGCTCCTCGAATACAATATTTGTCTTGAATAGCTTGCCGGTTTCTGGAAAGTAGAAAATAACAACACTTTGTAAATACGATTTCCCTGCATCAAGTGCTCAATTCATGCATTTATTTGTCTCTTCTCAAATTCTCTGCGTTTTCTTTCTTAACATAAATGATAGGGAGAATTCATGCATTTATTTGTCTCTTCTCAGTTCTCTGTGTTCTCAATTCATGCATTTATTTGTCTATTCTCAATTCTCTGTGTTTTCTTTCTTAACATTTATCTGTCCCTTCTCAATTGCAGCTACAGTACCAAACCTTTTACTTAGCAGCAATTCAGCAAACTTGGCCCAGACCTTTTATTTTACCACCCACGGTGCCAAACCTTTCAAAAATCAGCACTCGAAGTCTAAATTGATGGAAAACATCTATTTGACTGTTAGTTGACCCAAATAGTAAACTTTCAATTATTTTGACTAATTTTTAAAAGGGTAATATAGTAAATTTGTATTTTCTCACAGAAAACACAATTATAATAATTAAATAAAAAAAACTAAACAAAACCAACCACCCACCCCCATCTCCATCTTCCCCAAACCCCATTTAACCCCCTTATTCCAAAGTAAATAATTCCTATTCGGACTTTGCTATCGGTACATCAAGGTATATACAAGGGGTTACACCTCTCTCACATGGGGGTAAGACCCAATTTAATAAAAAATTATTATTCAAGTGGGCCCACCTCCCATATGAGGGGCGTGTAATCCTTGTGTACATCTTTTGATGTACAAGCAGATAATTCTTATTCCAAAACCACCCTACCCAGTGACAGCGAACGGCTGCCAACGCCATTGCCACCACCAACCCTTAACACTTGCACTGAAACCGCCACCCAAAAGGCTTCCCACGGAACTATATTCAACCTGTAATTTTTTTTATTTCTTGCTCTACTCACACTCAAGTTCCCATTCTACAAATCCTTTGTTACTCTCCAATCCCTTGGTTTTCCCCTCAACCACCTCAGCCTATCGATCCACCAACAAAGCATCAAACATTGACACAACATTCCTTTCCAATTCCAAATGCACAACCATGTCACTCATCTGAGTCAACTCATTCTGCAACACCTCCATCTCAGAGTTAGACCGAGTCACTTCCGATTCCAGAGACCCTTTCGATTGCATAGGCAAGTCCACTTGTTGATATGCTATGCCTTGGTTTCTTGTATTTTTTCTTATTTTTTGTGGCAAATGAGAAGATGGAAGGTACAAGGTTTAGGGTTTTTTGGGATTTATAGCTGAGGTAAATGGGAAATGCACCCCTTTACTTGAGAAGATAAAGGGAAAATGCAGGCGACGGTTAGAGAGAATAAATGAAAGTTGAACATTTAGAATTTTTTTTTTTTTTCGAATTCAAATTTAGGGAGATTGATCTTGGTTGACTGGGTGTTGGCGATGGAGGGAGGGAGTTATATGCCGTAGGCGAAAAGGGTGATTGTTAGCACTTGGATTTGTGGCTGACATGAATGGGCAAGTCGAAAAGGTGACAACGGCAGGAGGAGATAAGGTGAAAATGGAAGTTCAAAAGCAAAGGAAGAAGGCATTGGTGTTGACGGTGATGCCGACATTCGGTGGAGGTGGATGATTTTAGGGAGGGTGGGAAAGAAAAAGACCACCCTTATTTTTCTATTCTTCCTTTTTATTTAATTATTATGATTATATTTTATATTAAAGCTGTAAAGTTACCCTTTTTCCTTTGTAAATTTGGTTAAAATTATTTTTTGGATCAACTGAGGGTCATCCATTTGGACTTCAAGTGTTAATTCTTGAAAAGTGTGGTACTGTTGGTGGTACAAATAAAAGGTTTGGGTCTAATCCGCTACTAAGTAAAATGTTTGGTATTGTGGCTACAATTCTCCCTAAATGATATATTTTGGTAAATCATCATCTACATTCAGAAAGCACAATGGACTTAATTGTTTATAGCGTCTATAATAGATTTAAGAGAATCCATCATTACGCAAATTATTAGGTGAAGAGAAATTACTTCTCCTTGTTCAACTTGGATTGTTCAAGCAACTTTTTAAGCAAGGGAGACTCCTTGAATCTTGCATCATATTCTGCATACTTCTTCTGGTTTTCTTCTGAAATAGCCAACCTAGCACGTCATTTCAGGTAAAAAACTATAATGTAGCTCATTGAAATGGTATGGAAGAACAAACCGTTAAAGCGAGTGAGAAAGTCAATCTCAGGTAACTGAGGACCAGGAACTGATTCTATCCCAGAGAAGCCAGAGAGAAATCCAGCATGAGCTGCAAACTTTAAAAAGTTCACACTTTTGCCTCATATTCCAGCACAGATTATATAACTAAAATGAACGCAGTACGAAAAGGAAAGAATCACATTTTAACTCTTGTAATAACAAACATTAATAACTCGCTTTATCATGAAACTGTAACAAAGACCAGCGGAGATACTCTAGACTACATAAAAGCAAGAGCACCTTGAAGAAAAATGATATTGTATAATAAACAAATTGCATCAAACAAATATAAAGTCGTGAACCAAGAGTACAAGATCACTGACTGCAATCTGTGAATGCTTGCAATTCATTGTAACAAGTTTACAAACTTGTATAGAAAATAAATTTATTCAATCACGATTCTTTTAGCAAATAATGGACACTGGAGCTGATTTTCTATAAGACATTGGTAATTGTCTCATCACTCACCATCATTCCAGCCAGAAGCAATAAAATTTCTTTCTTATTCTTTTAACAGTATGATATTAGCACAATGTTTCGGGTTGAGAACAGAAGAAAGACAGGTGAATCAACTCTGCCAGCGGCAAGCTTTTATGTGAGGTCATTGAGCCATCCTTGGTCATTCAAAAATACTAATCATACCACAGCAAAATATGCCAAAGTTTTGGCTGCTAAAAATGAGTAGAATAATAATCTTACTGTGGAAAACAACTCAATATTTGATGGATTATGGATGTTATATCGGAAAATGACCATGAGCACAACAGATTCAGGGAGGCTGAAATACCCTTTAAAACTATCAAATTAATTCAATTTGGATTGGCCTTAGATTTTGACGAACATAATACATATGAATCCATAAGCAAGTAATTACCAAATCAACATTTTATACAACTGCATAATCTTTGTACTGGTGTGCATTTAAGAAAATTGTTGCAAGTGCATAGCACGTTCAAGACTGTTAAGTATAAATTATTATTAGCAATTTCGAAATTTGTAATTGGCAATTCCTTAGTTAAAATCATGTTCTAATTGAATTGTATTAGGAGTTTATCAAATTGTAATCAAAGTTAAAATCGGAGTTATTGAGTCTTATTTATAGCAAAAGAGTTGAAATTGATAGTATAGGTCTTGAAGGAGTCCAAGATATCCAAGAAGATCACATATGATTAAGGAAATGCAATTAGAAGTCTAAAGAGTGTCAAAGAGCCATACAAATTATGCTCCAAATTCTCAATCGCAACTTGCAACGCATTTTTAACATAGAAAACATCGGAATTTGGACAAAGCTATTTCTAAAGGAATTGTAACCTTTTGAGTTAGATTTCTAACACATTTTGAATCACCTCAATCGGATATCGGGAGAGAAAGTTATGATAACAATACCGAAAACTGCTCAATTGTTGCTTGTCTGTCGTTGGCTTGGCGCTCGAGCGACGGGTCGATGTTCAGAAATCTGTTTTACTTCGAACACTTGGTTTTTCAATCCCTTTTCATCCTAAACATTTTTTCCCATATATATATATCATATCCTATAAACGTCCAATAGTGTGTTGAATCATATTTATTCCATAGAGATCATTCCTTTGAAAATCCAAAACATTCATTGATTTCAAAATTTAACCACCACATATTACTTGATCCATAAATTCATCCAAATTGTATTTCGTTGATCAAGCCATATTGTTTCACATAAAACCACATATCAAAACACAAAATATCTTTTAATCAAACACCAAACCCCTAATCCATCGAAGATAAATCGATGCCAAGGATCAGAAGCTGTTGTAGAAGCACAAATTCAGAAAAGCTAAGGTAAGGTACTAGGAGTCGAGGATCTGGCGTCGGGAGCACGCAGTCCAAGGGACTAAGGTATAAATCAGGAGTCGGGATTTGTTTTGAAAGAACACAGCTCCAGCAGGATCAAGAGAGAGGTCAGAAGATTTACGGGTAAACCGGTTTAGACCGTACTGTAAGTTTGCTTCGATTTACAGTGGATTACTAACGGCAAAGTGCCCGGAGATTTACGCAATTGGGATTTCTCCGTGATATTTTTTATGTTATTTATTGCTTTAATTATTGATTGTGTTATTCAAACCTATGATAAATTGACTTGTTTGATCTAACTATCTAGAAACAATTAAAAAGTGATTTATTGGTTTTAATTATGTAATTTCACACTTGTGTCTAAATAATTTAAAACTTTCAAAGACTAAACACAAAAAATTCGAATTCATAGGCAAATACTGATGGAAATTGGTTTAGAAGATTGAAAATTTGGTTAAGTGTCAAAATAAAAAAAACTTGGAAAAGTGACTTTCGTGTCAACTTCGACCAAATATTCGGACTTGATCCAATGGTCAAATTACAAATGTAAATATACCAACTTGTTCTACTCGTCAAGTAGATCGTTGTGGTATATTTGGAATCTCAAAACCAATTTCGGATGAAAGAGATTTGCGGTCCAAAGTTGGGAAGAAAATAGAGGAAATTGCCGAATATTTGCCCTAGTATATCGCTCGAGTGACAAGCTAGCGAACGAAGTCACCGTTTTTATCGCTCGAGCAAGGCGAAGGCGGTACACTAGCGACAGTGAATGGTACGACATTTAGCAAGAGTTGCTGAGTTTAGGGCGCGACATTTCATTCACAACCCCTCATCCTCTATATATAGGACCACTTAGACGTCCATTAGGCATCCCATGCCATATTTGCATTGATCGTTACATAAAAACTCTTGCAAATCACTTCCAAATTCATTCAAAATCGTTTTCTTCTTTGTAGAGAAAAACTCAGTCGAAAGTTCGCTGTAACTTGTGGTTTGAAGTACTTCTACCACAAGTTGAATCCGTTGTATCTTGGAAGACAACTGCCGTCAACCGTGAGCACCGTTTTGGGGCAATTTTGTCTTGAGGAAAGAGTTAAAATCACTTGATTCTGATTGTTCTTCTTCTTTATTTCTTAGCCTCCCATTGTTTCATTTGTAGTTTTCATACTACATTTTCAATCACCTTTTTATATTGTTTAGTCACACTCGTGCGAATTAAACTTTGCTTTTTGTTTATTCGATATAGAACAACCCTTTCTCCCGCACTTATATTTAGCCAACGTCGCCAACAAATACAAATGCCAATTTCAGCAAAATAAAAAGAACCCACAAAAAAGAAATGCACAAATAAACAAATAAGCAAAATTACCTGAACCAGACCATAGAAAAACAGCAAGAGAGACAGCAAAAGGAATCACAGACTTCTGTAACGAGACTTTAATAAAAGGCGGCGAATTAGAGTATAAATGCCCATTTATCACAGAACTATGAAATATTTCTCCTTTCTTCTTGCATCGTACTACAGTTTGGATCTTGTTTTGAGAAAGTCCAGAAGAAATTTTAAGTTTGTTAGAAGAATTGCTAGTATTCTGCCATGGCTTTATGCATAGCTCAGGAGAAAATACAAGCAAAGCGGAAACCATGGTTACGGGAGGAAAGAGAATCTGCCGAGGGAAATGATAAGACGTTAAAATTGAAGGGTCGTTATTACGTCTTGATATTTCATATTTGTAAGAAAAATATAGTAATAAATAGAAAATAATTAACACAAAATATTGGAGTAAAATATTTGAACGGTCACTGAACTTTAACATGGTCACGACTTATTCACTGAAATTCAAATTGTCTCTTAATGGTCACTGAAGTTTCTGCCGTAGCACCACATCCATCACTCACCTAATTCCGTAACCATTGAAGCTGATGTGGCGGACGGAAAACAGATCGGAAGAGCGTCG